AGGATTCTCATCCAAAGGATCTATAAGATAAAAGCATTAAAAATTCACCTGGAACAAAAGGCAGCAGCAAGAAATTAGGTTAGATTAGTTTGCAGTTTAAAACAATATAGAGTTAAGCAAAGATAAGAACAGGAGAAAATCATACTATCCTAGAGGTAATAATTCAAAATTATTTTTAAAATTTTCAAATCAGCTATGGAGTTATCAAGAATTCAATCATTGGACAAATCAACAAGCAAAACAACAAAGACATACCAGAATGCAGAAATTGTTAAATAAAATAAAGCTTTCCTTTTCAGTATAAATACTAACTATTAATTTTTAAATAGGTGACGCAACTTCATCTGAAGAGGAAGAATTTAACGAAGATGATTAAAACATTCCGTTAATAGCTAAATTAGCGACAGCCTAATTTCATAAGTTATCCAAAATTAGAGAGAAAATCAAAAAGCAAGGTGATATTGATTCTTAGGATCTCATTCTCAAACAGAGGGCTGAAAAAAGGAAGTATAAATATGTACTTTCATATCGAGCAAACATAAAACTACTATGGGATGCTTTCATTATATGTTTAGCCTTGATTGTGTCAATCATGAACAGCATTTGCGTATCATTAGACCCACCTTTTAGAAGAACTGGTGGCTTTCCAGCAATTAACCTTATCGTTGATTTTATTTTCCTTCTTGATATGATTTTAATCTTTAGAACATCTCGGCTTAATTTTTTACTTGGTGAAGAAACTAATGATCCTTATTAACTAGCACTTATTTATATCAAGTCATATAGATTTTGGGTTGATATACTAAGTATAATACCATTTGAAATGTTTGATGATAAAGACTTGCTTATTTTATTTAGTATGCTCAAAATTTTTAGAATTGGAAGGTTCAATAAAATCCTTTAGAATACCAATCTTGTATCCTAGAGTAAAATTGTAAGATAATCTTAATTAACTCTGCTACTAGTTTTTAAAACTGATATACATGTATGTTCTACTCATATTGTATCTTCATTTCTTGGCCTGTCTTATCTATTATATTTTCAACCTAAATAAATCGTGGACACCTCCTTGTGAGACCTTAGGTGTAGGTTCTAAGTTTTATGGAATCGACGATGATCTCTTTAAATACGCTACTCTGATCCATTACTCAGTGCTAATGTATTTAATCAATGAGACATCTCCCACTGTATTATACGAAAGACAATTTGTGCAAGTTGTAGCTATTATATCAGCAATAGTTAATGCAGTTATATTCGGCAATATTACCGTGCTTGTATCTGAATTAAAAAAGAAAGAAAATGAAATTCAATAAAACCAGGATGCTGCATCGACTGCAATGACTAATCTTGAGTTACCAATTGATTTGAGGATGAACATATAAACATAAATGCAAGTACTCTAGAGTACTAGGGATGAACCAGAAGAATTACAAATATTTTTGAATAGTATTTCAGCAAGTAAAAGGCTAAAAGTTTAAGTGTGTGTTATGAACAGAGAACTTAGAAATAACAAACTCATAAGTGGTAAAAGCTATTTAATGTAATTTTTATAGGTATGGCTAAGAAGAAGTTTGATGCTTTCATTGAATTTATGGTCTCTCGCATGGATTTGATTCTTTCGAATCCAGAAGATATTATTATAAAAGAAGGAGAATCTCTTGAGGGTAAGTATTATCCATAGTTTAATTTATTCTAATAGAAAACGATTGCATGTATTTCATCGCCAAAGGTATCTGCTATGCTGAATAAAAAGATAGAATTTTTCAATAAAATACTAATAATTATCTTAGAAATCTTGGGCCTGGAGACTACTTTGGTGTAAAAAAATTTATCTTTCTAAACATACTAGGAAATATCTTTGATTTATAATTGTAAAAGATAGGCTTCTGTTATTTCATAGAACTACTCTACTTTAGCAAGACTCAGCTTTGACAAATTTAAGGAGGTTGTCTAGAAGTACCCTAAGCTTCTTACTTAAATGAAAGGTTAAATCAAAGGATATGACGATCCTGTTACGAAATTCATGACAGAAACTTTAGAGAAAATACCATACTATGATTATTTTGACGATGATGATAGGATCTCAATAATCTACAGCTTTACTATGAAGAATTACCAAAAGGGTTCATTAATTCAAGCCCAAGGAGAAATTCCTTAAAATCTTACAATAATATCTCGTGGAGTCGCTTAAGTTTTTACAACAATAAAGACTGAAGAGTTCCCTATAGAATATCTATGCCATGGCTCAATTATTAATTAGAATATGTTTTTGCTTTAGTAGCCCGTTTAAATGCCAATAAAATGTATTACTTAAGTGATGGTGCTAAATTTTTCTTATGAAAAGCTGAAGATAATTAGAGATAAGAACTCAGAGAGTAATCTCAATAAAGAACTTGACATACTAATTAAATTCTACAGAAAGGAAGGCATTGAAAAAATCTACCTTGATTACATAACTCCAACTCCATTCAATTTATAGGTTGATGACATAAAATATCCAAGAAGATAGGAGTTAACAAGGTAATTGAAAAATGCAGCTATCTAAGTACTAATGAATTACAGAAAGAAAAATCACAAAGTGAATTTTAACGATATGCTTAAGGATATAATTAAGAAGATCAAAGAAAAAAAGAGAACAGAGAAGTAAAAGGCATCTCTTTTAGCTAAAAGAATAAGCGCAGGAGAAGGCGCTGAATTGCCAGCAATAAGCGGTGATTAAGCAAGTGAAATTCATGCATTTTTAAATCAAATGGAAAAAGCTGTTGAATTTTAGAGTGAGATGATAGAATCAT